CAATGGACTTTAGTGCTTGTGATTTTTGCATCATAAATGCTCATTTAATTACTTCTGTAAGTGATAGGAATATTTTTGATACCATTAGACTCATAACATAATTATACAATATATTTATGAATTATTTAGGCGATTGCTGTGGTTACAACATATTTGGTTATATTGTTACAGTTTTATGCATCCGCACAAGTATAATTTTTTAAAAAACACATTATTTAATTGTTAAAAATTTTTAATTTTATGTGAAGCTAGTATATTTTTTATTTAAAATGTTTGTTATAATATGTTCATGAATTGTTTGACTAATGTTAAATATAAATTTTAGGAAAGGTAAAATTATTACCTTTTCTAAAAAATGACAAAATAAATATTATATTAAAATTATCAAAATATTATACAACAATATATCTGCTATTTTATATTTATAATGGAAGATTAAATTTGTAATTTGCTAAGGCCTCATGTAGTTTATTTATTTATTAATGGGTATACGCCTAAATTGGGCTCAGAACAGTTTACATAATCAATACAGGTAAGATAATAGATAAGAAATCAGAATTACAAATTGATATCAGTTCATACAGAAGTTATTATACAAATATTGATAAACAATAACATAGCAACAACAATTACTTCACACCTTTATAACTAATTGTTTCACACCTCTATTACTAATTACTTCATACCTTTTTAACTAATTGATACTAATTGTTTCACACCTCTATTACTAATTACTTCACACCTTTTTAACTAATTGTTACTAATTACTTCACACCTCTATTACTAATTGCTATTTTATAAAATACATTTTTAGTTTAAATTAATGCTTAAATGGTATTATGTTAATTATAACTTAAACAAAAAAATTTTATTTTATTATCTCATCTAAAATAGTTGTTTGATATTATGTGAAAAAATATTGGCCGTCCTATATTTTTTAGTTTAATAGGTTTTAGGAGTCCGGCTTTTAGGTTATGTTCTGACGTCAAACTACATTAAGTTTTTTTAATTAACTATTACTATTTTAGTGTTGAAATACAGTTGGTTGTAATATAATGTCTAGACCTATCCATTCTTTATTATCAATGATATTAATACAGCTTACAGCTAGATTGCGCTCCAACTATAAAAAATAAATGGAAAATATTTATTTTGATAGTTATCTTATATTGATAAAATATTATCAAGTGATTATGATTTTCTTTTGAGATATGAATGTTAATTTATTTTATTTTATTCATAGATCTATGATTACAAAACAATACTACTTTATACTTTCAGTTATAGATATATGTTAATTGTGTGCCATCATTAATGCTGACGTTTAATTGAAATGATGTTGGTATAATATGTAATTTTTATTTCTCATTTTAGTTGAATAGGATTCAAATTGTTTAGAACAATTATTATTTTATAATAATAATCATGATAATCTTTTATTAATCAAACAGAATTATTTTTATATATAATTTAACTATGTCATTATTTTTGCCTTGTATAAAATTATGGTGAGTAGAATTTTTGATACTTTAAAATACAAACATCCAAATGTGATACAAAAAATATTATTTTAGGTTTACAATATTAGTTTCAATAATTGGTATTGTTATCATTCAGAGTATATTAGCAAGTTTTCCAAGGGTAAATCAAAATGTATTGTCATTTCATATATTTCTTAATAATTGCCTTGGATATTGCTTAGTGTTGGTACCAGGTTATTGGCTTTGCAAATTCACTAGGTCATATGATTTAGGAGGTTTGTGAATACATAAAATATTACTATATTGCAATATACTTTAAGCAAAATTACATTTTTTCTTTAATTTATATGTTTTTTTCATAATACATAGATGACAGTAAAGCAAAAAAATTATTGAAGTTCATTTTTTATGAACGTTCAAGTAATCCATCTGATAATTTCAAACAAGATCTTATTCAAGATATTCACAATACTAACACTTTTAAAAATGATTTATTTACTTTTATTTATTGTTTTGGTGGATTGCAAGCATCATACTTAGTGTGGGGAGTACTTCAAGAAAAAATGATGTCAGAAGTAAGCATATAAATAATTTTTTTGAAATAAATATTTTAATTTGTTTGAATGGTTTTAATTAAATAATATCTAACAAAAATTTAACCGAAACAAATTGCTTATTTACGTAATATTATATAGTTATTATAATTTTAAAATATGTTTAATTTTTCTTTTCTTAAAATGATAAATCTATGGATATTATTGTTTTATTTTAAAACCTTAATATATTAGATTAGTGAATGATAAATTTCAAAATTTTAATGTTTTTGACTATTCCTTGCTTTCTAGAAGCATAAAATATTAGTAATAAAACAAGATTTTGAATCTGTTATATTCTAATTTACATTATTCTATAGTAAAAAAATTAGGTATTACAAATATAATTAATATGTTCAAAAATAAATTTTTATTTTATTAAACTTAAGTTNAAATATAATTAATATGTTCAAAAATAAATTTTTATTTTATTAAACTTAAGTTGGATATTCTTTCATTTTTAGTCTTATGGCTCAAGTGATAATTCAAAATTTGTTGATGCTCAAATGTTAGTATTTTTAAATAGAGGGCTTTCAACTATATTGTCTGCTATAGTTTTATTGATGAATGAAGGAATTAGTTCTAAAAATCCTCCACCATTTTACAAATACAGTTATTGCACTTTGTCTAATATTATAAGTTCATGGTGTCAATATGAAGCACTTAAGTATGTTAGTTTCCCAACTCAGGTAATTATCTGTTGAAAAAAATGGTTATTATTTTGAGTCTTTATAGTTTTCTTGAAATAATAAAATATTTTTTATATTATTTAATTGAAAAACAAAGTAATAAATCATAAACTTTTTTT